AGCAGTCTTCCCCATACTTGTGATTTAGTTTACTGAACCAAGCTGAGTGTTTTTCAAGGCTCAGGAAACCCTAGCAGTTTCGAGTTAATTAGACGATTCAAGTGATTAGTTGAATAGCCTACTAGTATACTTTTTCACGATATTCTAATATTTTGAGATAGGATATTTGGGTTTCTTAAGCTGTAAGCCATAATCAGCGATATTAAAACAATAAAAGGCTTAAGATATTTCAGTCAATTTGTAATGAATCCAGAATGTATGACATTTCATGATTTTTAATTGCATTACAGAAAATAAAGAACTTTATCACAATATTCTAATTTTCTGAGACAGTCCTGTATACATATACACACACAATGGCTATACTATATATAAATATACAGGCGTCTGTTTATTTGTAGAAATCCTACCTGAATGATGTGATCCTCACTGGTGATTTCCACCGCCTCTTGGCAGTGCTCCAAGGCTGTAAAAGCAGAGTTGCAGGCCCTACGGAGGAATAAAGTTGCGTAAAGTCAAAATAGGCGATGATTCTTAACAATCTTAAAACTATATTGATTTCTTCAAGTTGCCTCTGAGCCAAGATCCCATTCTGTGGGCCATACCTGAGTTTGAAATGACAGCGCACCTCTCCATGTTCGATCTGTACGAGTTCATTATAGCACGCTGAAACACTGCTGCTCTCAACAAACCTCTGGAGGCCGACCCAGGTTAAGTGGTGTTTTGAAGTAGAGGTGGAGAGAGGAGAGGGGAATGGAATGAGTCAGGATTCACTCAACAGGGACTGATTTAGAAACCGCCCACGCCATTTTCACACCATTTAACACTAGAAGCAACACGACTTGCACTCAAAATGACCATCAAGCTTACCATTCTGTAGAAAAACGTTTTCAGATTTCTTTTAAAGCAAGTCCATGAACACATAAAACGGCAATAAATGAGGTAAACGGTTGGACATACCCGGCTAAATCCAGCACAGAGAAGAGGGAGGACAGATGGTTCCTCTTGATCAGGGAGTCTATGGATTGACAGAAGGGAATCGTTACTGTTTGCACTTTTTAAGAACATGATTATGCCTACACACATAAACACCTGACTCAGGTTGCAGAGACAGGAACAACAGAGAGACCAGATAAAGCCAACTGCTTAGCTTAAAATAGTGTCTATACGTGCTTATTAGGGATTTTATGTGTTGACGACCACCTACTCCTTAGAGATGTTCCTAACAGCTTTAAAATGGAACTACCATCTAATCTTTTTCAAAAGTGTTTGATAAGTTTGGATGGAGAACAGTGGTGAACTTCAATTTGCAACAAATATCAATCAGATTTAGTCCTGGATATTGACTGGAGCGCTCTATGCTTGATCCAAACCTTTGCTTAAGACTTTTTTTGCTTTGAATACCGTCCGTTTAGCTCCATCTATCTTAATATCATCTCCGACTACCTTACTTTTACTAAAAAAGAAAAGCATCCCACAGCAGTTTTCCCTGTAAGACGATGTTCATTCCCATAACCAACTGTTGTATTTTAAGGGATTCTTAAACCTGAGCCGTGGATTTGTGCAGCTGCTTCAGAGCTACCATGGACTTCTGCCTTCTTTTGTTATTGATGCTGTCTTTGCTAAGACAGCCCAGATCTGTGGTTTTAGTCCCCCCATGTTCTTATAATGAATTCTTCTATGTTTTATTTAATGTTGAAAGCTTAGGATATTGTTTTAATGGATTGTGCTTCAAATGTCTTCCTAAATTTATAATGTGGGCATTTAAGCCCTATTAATTTACTCATTTTGGGGCTTATCTTGCTTATCTTGGTCTTGGTCAAAGGTATAGGAGTACAGGTTACAGAAAAAAGGGAAAAAAATCCCAATAAGCACCACTGAGTTTAAGTCTATTGCATAGAATCTCAATAAACTCCATAAAGATTAGGAACTGTGCCAGGAAAATGTGCAACTTTCATATATAATAAACAAGAAGATAAATGAAAATGTATTTTAAAACTAAAGCTTACTTTTTAGGGACAACAGCAAGAATAACCGTGTTTTCGGAGGGCTTTGTGGCACGGATCATCCTGAAAAAGAAATAAAAGGTAAAACTCAGCAGGACAATCGTTCAATTCTGACTTTTGAGAAGTGGCTTGGATTGAGGTGCAGGATAAACATGTGGGCAGAACCAGGCGGGTGATGTCATAGGGAAGAACATTTGTGTGTTTAACACAGAAACAGCAAATGCAGCTTGTGCTTCAGAGGTTTGGCCACCAAGCCGCACAGTTGGCAGGAAGTGTGGGAAAGTGGTCTGGAGGTGGAGGAGCAACGAGTCGACAGTGATGGAGCACAAAAGGAGCAACATGGGGGAAAGGATGATGGCAGAAATCCTCAGGGGGGGAAAGGAATACAGAAAAAAATGATATCAAGGAAGAGAAAGATAGAAACTAGGCAGAGCTGCAGCCAGGACTGTGGTAATCAGAGGACAGGGGAGACTAATGGATCAGTTTCTTGGGAACATTTTGAAAGTCCTTACAATAAATCACTTGACAAAATACATAGTGGTGAATTCTGCTGCAGATCTTTGGACTGCACATTCCAGCAATAACTAAAGCACATAAATCTGCAGGACACTTGAACACATTTGTTTGTGGTAAAAACAATGACAAATAGGCTGATATATATATTATATATATAGTGAATGACTTGGTTTGTGATCCTGAAGCTCTTTTCAGAGACCAGTGCTTTCAATTTCACACTAAATCCAGACACAGAACTCACATTAATGTCAACGTTTCAGAAATATGCCTGGAAAACTCGGCAGGAAGGGGAAACAGTGAAAAATACGGGACTAAAAATATCCTTAGAATAAATCCTCATACTCGTGCACACCACAAAGCAAGAGGGGACAGAAGCACAAACCAGTATGAACTTAACAGCTGTTAAAGCTCAAAGAGTGACAAAAAAACAAAGCTGAAAGTTACTTTACAAGAAATAAACTTTTCTTTTCTTCAGTAGTTTACTTTAGCGTCTTTTGGCCTGTGATATCCTTGTATTTTAACAGCTAAAGCTTCTCAGTTACACAGTTATTCAAAGTTATGCACAAGGTTCTTTTGCAGTTCATGTTTCTGTTTCCTTGCAGTGAACACTAGATGGCGGCGACGTGCCCTTACAATAAAACTGCATTCAATTTGTTTGTAGAGCTCTTTAAAGTATTCAGGTAAAAATAAATGTATATAGCAGGAGAAGTTGAAATAAATGGGTTAACATTTATTTATTAAAGTATCATTAAGGTACTTTATGAAGGTAGAATCTAAGGAAACCAGTCAAAAAAAGTAAAATGTTTTGCATTTCAGTAGACATGAGAATTATTTCCAGGTTATTTATTCACGCTGACTAAAAAAAAAGTAAATTTCTATCTCCATAAACTTATTTGAGTCAACGCTCACCTGCAGACGGCCTCGGGTTCAAAGTAGCGCGAGTGACGTCCGTCAATGACTATTATCTCGTGGTGCTTGTCCAGAAAACACTCGACGGCAGACTCGGGTGTCCGTGCAATGTTACACCGGAACCCGGCTCGCTCGCAGGCCCACCAGAAGGCATCGCTCTGGCTATCCTCCTTGGCAAACACGAGCAAGACCTGAGGACAAGAAAACCCGGATTAGATGGTGTTACTATCAGAGGCCCCTATTATGCTTCAAAGGGATTAAAGCATTCTCCACTGGGTTTACTTTTCTAAAAGACCCTCTTAATGGAGTGTTGCATTGCATCGCAGTAATCTATATAAGATATAAAGTTTTTAAAAGTCACACATGTCAGCACATTTTATTAAAGCGTTGCATGATGAAGCAACAAAAACACATGAGTTTCTGTTCAGGACTAAAGAGCAGCTAGGAAGCACCATGAGGCCATGAATTAATAAGAGATTAGCAACATCACAGGCTTCAGGCACAGAGACAAACAGACTTTAGACTATTTCTATGGGGAAAATAATGAAAAATGACTTAAACAGGGGCTAACAAGGAAAAACAACACTTAGAATCTAACAGACTGCAGGAACAATAAGAATTACACAAGAAAAATAAAGTAGAAAACACCCGGCAAAAATATGTGAACCCAGAGGCGGGGCTAGACTCTTTTTGTTGGAGGGCAAAAGGGAGCAAGGCTATCTTATAATATAGGAGCAAATATATTAAAATATGCTAAACACAAATGGGATGAGATTTGTATATGTGATTTATAAAAAAATGCAACTAAGTCAGAAATCTAAAACTCAGCTTGGCAGATATCAGTGTGTGGATGTTTGTGAATAGGAACCGGAATATTTTCAAAGTAGAGAAAAAAATAAGTAGGGCTGGGTAAAAAAATCGATTTTGAATCCATTCCATAACATGTTTGCAAAATCGATGTCTAGGGAATGAGATCGATTCATTTTATAGTGACGTTCACATTCAAATGAGCAGGAAAGACGCACTCAATATTAGTTCAAGGCCGACAGCTGCAAATATAACCAATAGGTTGACTGGAGACATTAACAATTGGGGGCTGACCAGAAAAAAAACCCATAGTTGTTACAGAAAAGGCTGCAAATATGATTTATGCATTGAAGATAATGCAGCTCATGCATGTCTGCTGTGCTGTGTCACTTCTGTTTGCTTGAGTGAGGCTTCACTTTTTCACTTTTCACAAACAAGTTTGCACTTTTGTGCTATAGAAGTAGTAATAGTCTATTTACCATTTTACCATATAAATCATTGTTGGTGCAAAATTATTGAAATGTTTTTCATAATTTTAATTTATCTTTCTATTTATTGCAACTGTTATCTATTAATAAAAAATTTGAGGCCAACATTTTGTCTTTTGATTTATGAAATGGACCAAAAGTGTTTTTCTGCTTACATAGCTAAGACATTTTGCTTACATGATTTTTACTCTTATTTGGGTAACTTTTGTTTTGTCTAACTCACTGTACTTTTACTGAAGTCAATTATTTTTAGCATTAATATCACCTCTACATAGCACTAAGTACTGCACCAAAGTATTCATGTGATGTTAAGTGTCAATCATGTAGGGGGGCACCTGGGGGCCAATCAAGTTTTCAGTCCCTCCCCAACTCCATCCCTGAGTAAACCTTACCTATTAGGCAAATGGCTAAATAACAGAAAAAGATGAGGAAAAACTAAGAAAAAGCCAAAAAGTTAAAAAGAAAACAAAACTCAATGCTTGAATATAACAATAGAAATGAGAACAAACTAAGGCATAACAAAAAATAAAAAAATAAACATCAATAGAACCTAAATCATGACGATATTATTGTGAAGTTATGTGGATTGGGTAGTCTATTTCCTGGGTGAATATAATGCTGTGATACCTTACTGCATTACATCAGCAAATCTTCCAAAGTATATTAATTAGCTTTCAATGAGAAAGCTGATTGAATGGCTTGAAGATGTCCTGTTTACTGTTTGTAAGAATTCATGAAAGGTACAAAGCAAAGAAAACAGAATGCCATCAAACTCTCTGGGCTTTATGCAAAACTCTGAGTTTGATAGGAATCAACTTTAAGACACAACCTGCATGGGCAAAGGTGGTGGCAGCATCATGCTGTGGGGAGGCTTTTCTTCAAAACAGAAAAGTTAGTCTTAGCTGATGGAAAGATGGATGGAGCTAACTACAGAGTGGTCCTGGAGGTAGGTCAGTTAGAAGATACAGAAGATTAAAGCTTATGGGTGGAGGTCTATAACCTGACTCCACCAGATGGATTTGCTCCGCATATCCATCTGGAAACCTTCCGTTGAAGAAATTTTGGGAAGGGGCGAAAATACTGGTTAGCTGATTGGCCTATGTTGGTGATAGACGGGCCAAATAAACCAATCAGATCAACGAAGCATATGACGTACTAACAGAGCGACGACGAAAACACAACCACAAGCCAGGCACAAGCCAATTGATAGATCAAACTCTTGCCGAAAACCAGTCAGGAGAGGAGCAAAAAATCTTTTCCTCTGAGAAAAGCCTCCAGAGCAGTGTTTTGCTCTTCTTTCAGTGAAGAAATACTCTGTAATTCCGATAAAACTTGCTCGATAGCCACGCTAACGCTAGTTTCATCGGCTGAAGCCGCCATGTTCTTTAGACTGAACTGTCGCGCTTCTCGTTGCGTCACACCTCAACCCGCCTCAAAGCCAACGCTGATTGGACGTTCGTTTGGTGAACGGCTCCAAATTTTCTTTAACGGAGAGTCTCCAGACTGATCTGCAAGTGAAACCTTGAAAGCTCGCGAGATCAGGATGGTCTCACGAGGGTAGGAGGTCTATGATCCAGCTAAACAACAAACCCTAAAGAAATACAAACAGATTTTTGATGCAATACTTTGTATCGGAGCATATTTACAAGTTATAATGGCCCAGTCAACTAGGACTAGAAGTTTTATTTTAACAAACACTACAGGTTAACCCTGCTTATATGTTGTTTTTTTGTTAAGCTGAGCAATCAGACCCGTCTTTAATCTAGAGCTGCATTTGCTTAGTCACACTCATTCAAAAAACGCTACAGAGACCAGGAGGCGATAGTGCACATAACCAGGGGATAGGAAATTGCAGAACTTTGCAGTAGTTCCTTCTCGCCTGTCTACAACGGAACCTAACTAGACATTCCCACTGAGCTTGAGATGTTTTTCAAAGCAGGGTGGTTACACCTTGTGGGTGATGAAAACTTGTAAAGTGTGTAGGATTATTCTTTGGTTAAAAGAAGAAAGGAAAACGATAAATTATTTTCCATCCACTCAGCCATTATGTGCACCTTTATGCACCAATAACTTATTTCAGCCTGAGACCCAAACATAAAAATGCAACAGACTGGTAAGTTACCCCATTAAAATACATAAAATGACTTACAATTATATTGATTTACTTATAAATATAGTTGTTATATTCATTTTTGAATAAATGTATTCTTAAAGACCATGAATGATTAGATTTTTCATTTAATTATTTTTTTTTTTGGTTAATTAATGGGGCATGTAATTATTTAATTGTTCATTTTAGGATTAAATGGTTTATTTAATAGAACAATTATCCATTTTATGAGAAATTTAAATAACTGTATTCCTAATATATTTTGTTGCTTCATATATTTCGGGGATCACACCGCAACGATGGTGGAAACCATCTCACATCAAACATACCACCACTGTGGGAACCCCTGGTCTAAAAAATAAAATTCTTACAGAATAAAAATAAGGCGACTGCTTTACCCTCTTATTAAAGGAACCTTATGAGACTTTATTCCTTTTAGGGTGTTTATAAAATCTTGGTTTATTCGATGTAGTTGTTTTGTTCACATAACTGGAAGTTTGTTTCCTTCAAAGTATGTTATATTTTTTCTATTTTCACATAAATATGAAAAAAAGAAAAACCTTTAAATCGATATTCTCCTTATAGCCTTAGTTTTTCAAGAGCTAGCTGCCTTATTACTGAAAAGTTGGACTAAAGTGTATTTACTCATTTGATTTGAAACTTAGCTGCATTAAAATCCTCCGATCTCCTGATTGGACACATAGAGCTTTGAGTTGAGTTTGGATCACTAACACACCAGGCCACCTTTGGTACAGCGGTGCAGAAAAGCAACAGGGAAAGCACACGTTCTGGTGCTCCGAACACAGCTGGCCTGCAGCCAGAACTAACAGCACTCGGCTCTGCCTCGCAGCGGCATCACCTCCTGAACCGCTCCGAGGACAACAAAGCATCCAGACACAAAGTCAGAACAGCCAGCACTCAGAGGGACGAGAGATAATGACGGGGTGAGAAGAAGAAGGAGAGCATGGCTAAAGCCGTGACTTTTCACATTTCTTTACAGAAATAAAACAGGAGTATCATCTTGTGTGACATGTTGTCCTTCACAGCTGGGAACAGGGAGAAAAAACACAGAATGCGGAAAAAAAAAGAAAAGAAAAAGAATGGGTGGGACTTGGAGAAGAGGATAGAAGTAAAGGTCAGAGGAAAAAGGTAGGCTGGTACTTTTGAGTGCCTGTGAAAGGTCCACAATCTTTGATACTGAGCAGGCTTGTGTAACCATGATGGTAACATGTGAAATTCCACACACAGGGGACCCCACGGATGCTGGAGCGCACACCTTCCACTCAAGAATGTTACCAAAAAAAAAAAAAAGTCTTATAGGAGGCGCCATTGGTCTGAATACGACATCAGATGGACAACACTATATTATGCAATATATAATGCAACATCAGAAAATAAGAAAGCAATCAAAACTCAAGAAGCCTTTGTCCTTTTTAATATTATTTAGAGTGCTGTTTCCCCCTAGCGTTAACTTTTGTTTAAAAGATGTAAGATCTTAGTTTATTTTTATTTTTTCTTGTCCTTTTTCCTTATTGTTTCTTGTTTTGCACAAAATGAGGTCATTTACTTGACTGGTAAAAATTAGAATTTACACTTGTTGAAAATGTCTGTAAATAATGGTTGTTGTGACTTCCTATAGTGCAATATGGTTGCTCTGTATTGTTCTTTGCAGAAACAAATAAAGTTGTATAAAAAAAAAAAATATATATATATATATATATATATAATGCAACTAAACTGCAATATGCTGACAGCACTGTGACATCACAGCGCTAAGGCACCTTGA